CATTCTTTATAACATGACCTGAAACACTTTAAAGTTTATAAAAGTAGGACAGTGTATGACTAACTTACCTTTTACTAACAAATATGTTCCAGTCCATTCAAGATTAATCCACTCTATCATTCCACAGTGATAAATTCCCTCATCGTCTTGGACTGCTTTCAAAATGGTCAGGTTGCTAAATTTCTTATTATAATTTGCTTGAAATCTTGATTTAAATATTTCTTGACCATACTGAGGTGTTGCACTTTCAAACAGTGTCACTATTAATTTGAGAGTATCTCCAACACTCTGCTTGTACCAGTGGACTCCTCTAATTTTGACCACATCGGGCAAAGCACATGTTATGTTCGCTGGTTCACCAAGCTGAACCGTTTTCACTGGAACTAGAGTGTCTGAATTAGAATATAGAAAAGTTATGGTTTTCTCTACACATCCATTTGACAATAAATTCTCAATTTAGAACATTTTTAGTAAAGTAAAGTGCTCACTTACATCCTTGATGAAGAAAAAGCAATACAATCCATAACATGACCATCGTGACACTGCTCCTTGTTGAGGACTTTGCTGGTATTTCACTGAATGAAGGAGGTGAAATCACTGTATTCGGTAAGACAGTAAGATGCTTCTGATTGGTCAGTACAGAATAGATTCAAATGTAGACTTCCTGTCACATTTGCCTCCTCCTGGGCTTTGCAGAAGCTCTCATCTTCTTTCATCTTGTATTGTAACTGCCCATTTTGTTAACTCGAACACTGTTCCCTACATGTTATAGTTATTCTTATTAAAAAGCTATTCTTGATAAAACCTAAGCATTTAAAGTATAATCAGCACAGTCCCAACTGCTTTTTTGTCACTGGTGTGTTTGCAATAGCAACTCAGTGCATGTAGATACGGCCAAAAAGACCTGCCGAGGCTCCAACAAAGCATCAAAATGGCGAAGAAAGGGGATTTAAATCCAGCAATTTGTTAGATCTATGCCAAGATTGTTAGAGATTCAAACTAAAGCCGTCTCTAGCTCTACAAAAACAGAATATTGTTGATTATAAGAACATTTCTGCAACAACTGATAAATTCCATGATCACATATTAATTAAACATTCTGTA